TAATTTAGTTACGTAACTACTCGGTCGTCGGTTCCGTTTCGTTACTTACTAACTAAAAGTAACTTACTTAGTATTACTATTTGTACTCACTGATACTCTCTCTCTCTCTCTCTCTCTCTCTCTCTCTCTCTCTCTATCTCTCCCTTCCCCCCCCCCCCCCCCGCCAATATTGGCCCTTGGACTTGTTGGAAATTCATGATTAATGGTGACATATACATCTTCTCCACCCCCTAAAGAAAAGAAAAAAACGACTATCCCCCTCTTCAATATCAATGTATCTATCATGATAGAAGATTCATTGGCAACTGCTCTCAGCTAGTTAAAGCTTTTATAGAAAATGAGACTCCTAATCACCTCAGCTGAACCAACCTCATAGGCATTGCATTCTCATTCTCATTAGACCATTTATTTATCCCATTGCCCACTCAGATTTTGAGAAATGCTCGATAATTAGACCTAACCCCCATTGGAGAATGCAGTGACCTGAAGAGCTCTCAAATCAACCTAGTGGAATTCCTTTCATCGTATGTATTTTTTGTAGAAATGCTAACATACATGAGAGGCCATCTGTAATGGTTTGGGTTCTGATTGAAACTCTGAATTAACCTTCCACCTTCTGCTCCTTCAATAGGAACATATCATAGAAGTATCATCTATGTTGCCATGTATCGGAAGGGTGACCACCTCTCATAAACCTTCCTTACCCTGATTCTCGAATCAGGAAAACATCAACTGTGTATAATATTTCATTGTGCTTTCACATGCTCATTCTTCTAGGTCTGCTGTGTAATTGTGCTTTCATGTTATGTCAAAAATTCTCCACTAGAAATTAGTTTAATTGTGCCCCAGCCTTTTCAACACTTGTTATAATATGGGTCTGCCTATATGCGTCCCCCCTCCATTGTCTATAGGTATGACCATTGCAAATACTAACCAACTAAAAGTTGTTGTTTAAATCATGTTACTAGTAATGCATACTTACCAATAAAATATGCATACTTATAAGCAATTATATATATTCATAATTCATTGTGCTTCTTATGTTCAGGACCTGCAAGATGTTATCGTCAGATTAAAAACAAGCCGTATCCAAAATCAAGGTATTGCCGTGGTGTTCCTGACCCCAAGATCAGGATCTACGATGTTGGGATGAAGAGGAAAGGAGTTGATGAGTTCCCTTTCTGTGTTCATTTGGTGAGTTGGGAGAAAGAAAATGTCTCGAGTGAGGCATTGGAAGCTGCCCGTATTGCCTGCAACAAGTACATGACCAAATTTGCAGGAAAGGATGCCTTCCATCTTCGAGTTAGAGTTCACCCATTCCATGTTCTGCGTATTAACAAGATGCTTTCATGTGCCGGAGCTGATAGGTGAGCTTTCCATTTCTTTTCGTGAATTTCTCATGGAATATCGATTGTTGATTCCTCAGTGGTGTAGCATATGCAAAATACACAACTGGTTTATATTTTCAAAGATACCATAAATTTAACCTTAACTTTGTTATGTGAGACCATCCTTTCTCACAAGATTACAAACTATATTCACATTGATCTTATGGTTTATAGTAACTCTCTAAGTTTATACCTATATACTTTTTGAAATCTAGTTTATACGTATTCACTTAATTTTGGGAAGTTGTTTGTAGGCTTGTAGCTATCTACTTGATAAATAAGCAGCCATTTTCCCACACCCACCACAGTAATATCTTGAGAATAGAATGTTGTATGCCTCATCTAAGGCAACATGGTCTATTGTATTCCAATGGGATATCCACTCTCTTATTCATGATAAGAGATATGGATTAATTTTTACTTCGCCCTGTGGGACATCAACCTGGTCATAGTTAATTAATCTATAGGGCTTGAAAAAGACTGGTGTCTTTCTTATCTCCTGTTGAGATGAGTATGGTTTTCATGTTTGTTAGAAAAAGAGTGGTTTTTTAGATTCATTGCCCTATTTGGGCCAGGCTCTCTCTCTCTCTCTCGCGCAAGCACAATCACATGTGCACGCACACACACACACACAGAGAAAAGGTGTGGAGTCTTGGACCATTATCTCCTTGTAGACTAGCATGGTTTTGGGCTTTGTTAGGAAAAGGGTGCTGCCTTAGGATCATTATCCTATTTTGGGCTTTGTTAGGAAAAGGGTGCTGCCTTAGGATCATTATCTCATATCGGTGTTTTCTTTCAGGCTCCAGACTGGAATGAGGGGAGCGTTTGGAAAGCCACAGGGAACTTGTGCTAGAGTGAGCATTGGTCAGGTTCTCTTATCTGTGCGCTGCAAGGACTCTAATGGAAACCATGCTCAGGAAGCTCTTCGCCGAGCCAAGTTCAAGTTCCCAGGCAGACAGAAGATCATTGTCAGCAGAAAATGGTATTATTTCTCGCTCGAACTTGTGAATTTGTTTGATAGATTTTCTTTGACAAGTCGAGATAATTAAATTGTTTTGCAAGCTTGAGCTGTAATATCCAATTGGTCATATTTTAATGAAAAAACATGATAGTAAAATGTCTCTCACTTTAGGTTTGCAAACCTCTGATTTTTATATATATAGATATATGCACTTGCTCATACATGTAAAAGTCGTGTCTTTTTATCTGAGTCTTTTCTGCACGCGCGTAATTATTTCTATGGATCTAATATGGGTTACCTCGTTTTTGTATGTAATAATATACAATAATGACTCGCCCAATTTATTTGCTCAGGGGATTTACCAAGTTCAGCCGCACCGACTATTTGAAGTGGAAGGAAGAAGGAAGGATTGTGTCTGATGGAGTCAATGCCAAGGTTAGTCTTTCTCACTCTCTCCAATTACACACCAAATATTCTCTCTTCCTCCCCTTGTTATTATTTCACTTCATCCTCTAGCTTTACTAAGCTAAGACTCCATTGGAGCTTGCTCCCCAACTCCATCATGCTTGTGCTGGGCATTAAGGACAGCAGATGTACCCATCAAACACTTTCTTCGAAGTACATCAAAAAAAAAAACTGTTATATTCCGTGGAGTTTGATATGTTAGTGAGTCGTATTTTTTACTCAATGTTTGGGCATCTTAACTTTCCTCTTTGGTGGCTTCTTGTGTATTTTAAAAAAATCCAATCAATAAAAGGAGACTAGAAAATTTCTGACAACTGTTCTCATTGATTCATATCTCTTTCCCCTGCGCCACTCATGCACAGTGGTTATATTTTTGCTTGTTTCTCCCCTAGACATTAGGAAAATTTCTAAGAATACTTGGGGCATCTGGAAGTGGTGGTTTTGGAAGCTGCTGCTTTGGAACCTGTAGCACTTCCTGTGTTCAATTGCAGGTATTGCTACAGCATTTTTGAAGCTGCTGCTCACAAGATAGCATTAAAATGTGGAAGATGCCGCTTCCACCTGTGGAAGCAGTCACTTCCCTTGGCCTTCCCAAAATCAAACACGCCCTCTAAATTGGTTCACCTCTTTCATGTCGCTGCCTTACCAATATCAAACACGCCCTTTAAATTGGTTCACCTCTTTCATTTCTCGCTCATGCACATTTTAAATTTTGCTACCCTCTCCTTCCGTCTCTCTTCTCTCTCTCATATATATTCTGCTGGTTTTGGCTGCAGCTTCTTGGGTGCCATGGACCGCTTGCTAGGAGAGAGCCAGGGCAAGCTTTTTTGCAGGCATCTGAGGCTGCATAGTCTCTCTCACTAAATCTTGCTGCAGTTTCTCTGTTGTTGGAGCCTGAGACATTTACCATTAAAGATGGATAAATTTTGGTGTTATCTGCAAGACTCATTGGCTCCGATTCGTGGGTTTATGTTTGATTCGATAACTATTTTGGTTTGTTTTCTAATTGACATTGTATTACACTATGAAGGTTTTAAATTTATTAGGTGGAGCTCTCTATTGTGTGGAAAATTCCTATTTACATTCTTGATTCCCTTTTAGGGAAACGTATAGTAGTCGTCGGAGGGAGGGAAGTTAATAATAGTAATAGTAGTGGAGAGAGAATCTTTGGATTTATAGTGGGGGAGAGAGTGAAGAAGGTAAGTTGTTGATTATCTTTGGTTTTTGGATGATTTCTCTTGGTTCTTGAATTATGGAGGATCTGCACTGATTAGGAAAAGCAAAATCGAGTCAGCTGCTGAAATGCACTTGCTGAAAAAGATCCCTGAAACATAGGGACGTCTAACCAACAGATAATGAACTTTCTTTTCTCAAAATCTTAGGGAATAATCTCTATTTTTTTAGGGGTTGCTTATGTGAAAACAATATAAAAAGGAGTCCATCAAAATAACTAACCAGCAGTTCCCACTATTTAGTAGTGTAAATGTATGTACACTTGTCTTTGGTATAAGGTGGATATAATTAATTTTGTTGTGGTTATAAATAATCTTGACGGATGTGAAATTGTGCTGTTACATTTATTATATTGAAATTTGTTGGTGGTATAAGATCAAATGGGTTAGAAATGCAAACTTTTAAAAAAAAATTCACTGTATATCCATTGTATAAAAATTCAAGGAATATCTCAATATAAAATTATAATACATAAATTTTAGTTTACAAACATAGTTTGTCTACATTTGAATAATAAAATTCAATGGTCCGCGACCAACTAAAAGACCGTGAAAGAAGCTGCTTAGAGTCTTGATCATGAGATTTTTGTTCGTGATTAGGCAGACGAAGTTGTCTTTGTCACTCTGCTTGAATGCCTTATGAATTTTGAATTCATAAATCAATTGGTAGAGCGGGCCGAATTAGGCATGCAAGCACTTGTCTCTTGGAATCTATTGGGCAGGCAAGCATAATCTTAATAGGTCTTTTGTAAGTCTCTTATTAAAAAATACAACTATATTGAATACAATATTCAAATATTCACGTTGTACATCTCTATAACATATTGTATGACTTGCATTCGCATTTTTTCATTATATCAAAATTATATGGTAATTCTATCGTCATCCTCATTGTATATCATAATATCTCATACACATCATACACTTTGATCATAATATTTCAATAAGTTTTTAATTCGTATAAATAATAATACAAAACATTAAAGTTCATACAGCAAGATTAAAAAATAGTATCAATATTCACATGACATATTCAATTTAACCAATCATGAATCCATTTAATAACTATAAATAACCTATTAGATTTAAAAAAGTTTATATAAGGTTGCAACTCTATAATGTAGATCTACGGATGTACCTAAAAAATCCATTGGAAAAGGTAGTTTTAATGTTGAAAAACTCGTTGATTGATCGAGATGTGTGACCATGAAAAATAAAAAGATTTTAAGTCTCAGAAATAGCGTATTTTACAACATATTATCTACACCGTCCATTTTCAATATTTTCATCTATTTGATTTTAACTATATTTGAAATTTAAATTTTTATAATTAGATATAAAAATAGATTTGAGAAAATCTTAAAAACATTTTACATCAAAATTATATACCACGATAAAATTTGAAGGCGCACCTTACCTTTACTGTTACGGATGCATCCGTATGCCAACTGTACCCTATAAATAATTGTGACTAAAGGTAAATGTTCTCATTGTATACAATCTTTTTAGTATTTTATTGGTAAATGGTATCATTATATATAAGGTCTTGCACCCATGGGTGTGGAAGGGTCTCACAAGGTCATTTCTCTTTTTAGTATTTTTTTTTTTTTCTTTAGCTATTTTAATCGATTCCATGATCATGTCTTTGATGGGGTTTTTGGGATGAAATTAGAAGAAACAGATAAGATGTCATGTTATTTGTCTATTAAAATTATTTTAATAAATTATCCAAATAAAATAGAAAAAAATTGAGGGTGAAATTTTTGTTTTTATTGGTAGTTCAACAGGGATTTGGAGAATGGGGCCGAGGTCGATGCTACCTAAGCCCAGTTAAAGGTCACCACCTTCATTCTCACTGAAACATTCAAAATATATTCCCTCTTTCCAAATAGGTCGGGTACTATATTGCCTTTTAATATACCACAAGGGTAGTGAAAATTATTTGGATTGCCTAAAAATCATAAATTTCATAATTATTGATTACTAGCTGCAATCAAGCGTGGCTCGATACTTATAGGAAAATTGTGATGGTACAATATCACCTTTACCAGAGCCTAATCTTTTTTTGTAAAAATCTGAGTACGTATAGCATATTTTCCAGATATGAATTTTGATCTAGAGATTAAAATTTCGATCATGCTGAGTATAATCTTTGAAAAGAAAATACATTTTAAAAAATAATTTATATGTGTGTATTATTTTTATTTATGATATTAGAAGGTAAGAATCACTCTTAACCATGAGATGACGTGAGATGTAACAGGTGTATCATAAAGTTTGAGAAATTTTCGTTTGAACTCTGAGCTTAATCAATGACTTGCTTTTAGCTACTCAATTTACACTTATTGGCCTCTAGTGGTCATGACCTCCTTGTGTAAAAAATGGTCGTGATCTCCTTGTATAAAAAATAAACGGTCTTTACACATACTTTTACTAATTTCAATACCATAAATTTTAAGATTTGGTAGGGCCACCATTTTTAACATCGATCTACAAGACCCATGCTTAATGTGTAAGGGCTGCAATTGTGGAAGTGCGCCCCCAAACGCACTAATTACTTTTCCTTTTGTGTGTGGGTTTAAAAGAAATTAAAATTTACGTTCCTAGACACCTAAATCTAACTTCCTGGAAAATTTGGAATGGTTTATAAAGAATTTAATTTTTGCCAATCACACAAGTTTTTCTTCTTCTTTTATTTATTTATTTATTTTTATTTATGTTTCATGGTTACTCAAAAAAATAGAATATAAATTTAAACTTCAAATTTTTTTTTTTTTCTTCTTCAAGCACAAAAAAATTTGTTTCCGTTGAAACTTAGATTATTAGAGCGTACCTCAAACATTTTACTACAAGAGGTTGTTTTGATGCTCAAATATATTCAAATTGATCATCTCGACATCAATATGCATATATATATACTAGTACTNTATATATACTGTATATATANATATATAATACGTNTATTAGTTTAGAAATATAGTTTACTTAGTTACGTACTTATTTCGGTTACCTAGTTA